GAGGGCCTGATCCAAGCTTCCGATCGGGTCCCTGCTGTGTGCTTCTGTAGGAGGTTGTATCATCAAATCGAACTCATCACAAATGTAGCTAATGGAATAAAAATTCACGCAAATCCTATTATCATCAGTGATGTACATAATGTCCAAACTGTGTCAAATGCTTTACAGACCAATAATAAAGACACAGCCCTTGTCCAGTACAGTTTCTGTCTAGGTTTTAGACAAGATGCAATAAGTGACAGCAATAAATAATGGGGCATGGAGGGAAGAGAAGGAATTACCTAAGTTACTTACTGTGCTATTGCATCTTCTGCAATTAAATGCAAGGTGGAATGTTCAAAAGCACTTAGCACTGGCCTACCTCTGCTCCCATGGCAGCTCATGCGAGTTTTACCAGGAGCAGGGTTAAGTGCTTTTAGAAATCCCATCCATTAGATTTGTGCTGTGTGGGTTCATAACTGTGCGTCTGGCATTTTGTTTCCTTTTTCAGCACTTGTCGTTGCTGTTCTCCGCTTTATACAGATGAAGCCAAAGGTGCTAAACCCCTGGCTGAATGTCAGCGGACTGATTGCGTTATGCTTGACCTCGTTTGGAATGACCTTACTTGGCAACTTTCAGGTACCCCACTCCCACTTCCCCCTCCCTCCAGCTTATTGGTAACTAACATGTCATTCTTTTCTGGATTTCCATGGGCATGTCATGAGAGCTGCATCCATTATCTATCAGCCCTACCTGCTGTGAGCACAAATCTCTCTGCTCCTGGAGCTGTCCATGGCAGGAGTACAGCTGCTAGCATGGCTGTCCACACTTTCGGCCTCCTCATACCCTCCTGCCCACTACCTGGGCCTGCTACTGCCTCTTAAATTGCTTCCCTGGTGGCAAAGGGAAGGTGGCAACTGCCATTAGTAGCACTGATGATTGATTATTCCTAATAAACTTTAAAATTTGAATCTGTGACACCTGGTGTTCCATCTCCTGGCACCCAACAGCAGCTGGGAGCCTGCCTTACCCCTGGGCAGGCACTGGGCTTGACAGACAAGTGCCTAGGCGTGGGGACTGCACTGGAGGGTGGCCAGCCCTGGGAGCTTGCACACACTTCTATGCTAACAGCAGGCAGGACTGCCAACACAGGGCCTTGTCAACTGTCTGAAATGGGCCATCTTGATTATCACTACAAACGTTTTTTTTTCTCCTGCTGATAATAGCTCATCTTAATTAATTAGCCTCTTAGAGTGGGTGTGGCAACTTCCACCTTTTCATGTTCTCTGCATGTATATATATCTTTTTACTATATGTTCCATTCTATGCATCTGATGAAGTGGGCTGTAGCCCACGAAAGCTTATGCTCAAATAAATTTGTTAGTCTCTAAGGTGCCACAAGTACTCTTGTTCTTTTTGCGGATACAGACTAACACGGCTGCTACTCTGAAACCTATGATTAGAATGTATGTTGGTGTTTTACCTCCTGCCTATCCTTTGACTGGCCACAGGAGGGACTTTTTTATATAAACACTGAAGGCATTTCCTGCTGTGAGTCATTGCCCGGGCTGTAGTTCTTTCAATTCTGAGTCTGTTCTGCATGTGTTATTGTTACAAACAAGCTGTCAGCTGTCATTTTGAGACCCCACAAGCTTGCTCTAGAGTGGGAATGTGTCCACTGTACTCATGTGTCTGCTTGTCTCTTAGATGAACATGAAATCTTAGGGGGAGGTTTTCAAAAGTATTTAAAGTCAATAGAGGTTGTGTTCCTAAATCCCCTACGTGTCTTTGAAAATCTCCCCCTATGGGATTGCTAGGAATGCAGCTCTGACTGGTAACTGCTGCGCAAGTATGAGAAATTATGCTGGGCCAAATTCTCTGCAGGCATAGCTCTATAGAAGTCAGTGGTATCATGACAGCAGAGAATTTGGCCCATTAGTTTTATTGAACTGGAAGAATATGTCGGTTTTCTTTATTAAAAAAAAAAAAATTGAAACAAGCTCAGTGTGTGACCTGTTGGCCGTAATCATGTGTCTGCTTGTAACATGTTCCAGTCTGACTTTTTATTAAGGATGAGCCAATCAGATACTTTAGGCCAGATCCTCAGCTGGTGTTCACCAGTTCGATGTAGCTTCATTGACATCACTGCCCAATTCTCCTGTCTAGCAGCTTGCGGCCTTGGTTTTGCCTGTGAACCCCCAAGTTGTAAGAGCTAGCCCGATACTTGTCCAGCTGTGTGAAGGGGAATCTGCGAGAGATGGGGCCGGCTTTAGGAAACCAAATCTCAAAGTTCTCCTTCCTCCTTTCCAGTATTTTCCTCTCTAGCGAAGGCTGGTTCTTTAGAGCTGTTACAGTAAATCACTGTAGGCTATATATTCTGGTTTAATAAAGCCACACCTTGCTGGTTAACAGCGCCCTTCTTTGGTCTTGTGCCAAACCACCACCAAGGCGTGTCAATGTTAGACCATAGTACATGCCCTTGCTTCCTTATTGCTTAGTGGGAACACCACAAAATATAGTAGGTGGCTTGCGTTAGTGTCTCTGGACAAGATCTGTTCTCTGGGGGATGTTGAGAGAGGGCTTAACACACTAAAAGCTACCACAGCAAAGGTAACATGGTCCCTTGTTGGCTCACACCATCTATCTGTTTTCTATTTCCACCCATTACCATAGTTTCTGTATGCCTTCCACATGAAAGCAGTAGCCAGATCCTTAGTGGACTGCATAGAATCTCTGGCTCTTCTCCCTTTTTGGGGGTAAACACTTTTCTGGGGGTAGGCTTTTTATTATTTTAGATTTTATTAATTCCCCTCCCCTTTTTTTGTTTTTGTTTTGGTTGCTTAGTGTGTATTGGGTAAAAGAGGGGTCAGTGTTAAGATTGTCATTATTATGGTGGAAAGGATTTCTCAAAGAGGAAGGTTTCACAGCTTTTCCTAGAGGTGGTCAGAGTCAGGAATTGCCTGGCCGTCTCTGGAGGATTGTTCCATAGCCAGATCCATTTGACAGAGAGTGACTTGTCACCAGCTCTCACATGCGTCATCCTGGGCTTTATGGTCTGGGTTGTCCCAGAGGAGCTCAGATATGACGGTGGTTCACAGATGGAAATTCGGTCTCTAATGTAACTCTGGGGCTTGATCCATTAATTGCTTTGGAAATTAGGGCCAAAGCCTTAAGCTGGCATGGGAAGCTGACTGGAGCCAGTGGAGGGACTTGAGCAGAGGGCTGATGTGCTCACGGTGGCTTGAGCCATGGAGAAGTTGGGCAGTTACATCCTGAACCAGCTGGAGCCTGGGCAATGTCTTCCCATTCAGCTCCAGGTCCAGTGAGTTACAGTGATCCAGGCTGGAGAGAACAAATGCATGGATCCCTGTGGCCAGGTCTCTGTCTGGCAGGAAGGGATGAGGTTTCCTTGCAAGCTGGAGGTGAAAACAGGCGTTTCTAGAAACTGATGCTACCTGGTAATCCAGGCTTATGGAGGAGTCAAACAGGACAATGGGGACTGTGCACCTTCAGTGGAAGGTGGAGACAATGTCTAGGCCAGCTCTTCTAAGCATTTCCCCTTTCAAACCACTATCACTTCAGCTTGAGACAGGCGGTCTTCATCCAAGAGCTAATTTCTTGTTGATTTTTCTGACATTTTAGTAATGGTGGGGTTGTGTCAGCTGAGAATGGATATAGATATAGATAGAGGGAGGGAGGGGGGAGGCTGTGCAGCCATGCAAAGGGACTTGTGTGCTGTGGAAATGGTCCCACATAATGTAGAAGGCAGTGCTGAGGGGAGGTAAGAGAGGTCTGAGGCCAGGTCATGGATTCACCATTGCACATGGATCTTGTACCACGTGCAACCAGCGCAGAGGGGCTGTTGCTGCTATTCCAGGTCATAGGCTGGTGTAATGACTCTCAGACTTTGAGGCCAGAAGAGACCATCATGATCATGTAGTCAGGCCTCCTGCACATCGCAGGCCACAGAACCTCACCCTCCCACGCCTGTAGTAGACCCCTCGCCTCTGGTTGAGTTACTGAAGTCCTCACATCATGATTTAAAGAGAATCCACCATTTATCCTAGTTTAAACCTGCAAGTGACCCGTGCCCCACGCTGCAGAGGAAGGTGAAACCCTTCCATGGTCTCTGCCAATCTGACCTGGAGGGAAATTCCTTCCCGACTCCAAATATGGCGATCAGTTAGACCCTGAGCACATGGGCAAGACCCACCAGCCAGACACCTGGGAAAGAATTCTCTGTAGTAACTCAAAGCCCTCCCCATCGAGTGTCCCATCTCTGGCCATTGGAAATATTTGTTACTAGCAGATGCCATTGTAGGCAGTCTCATCATACCATCCGCTCTGTACACTTAGCAAGCTTAGTCTTGAAACCAGTTAGGTTATTTTGCCCCTCGTCTTCCCTTGGAAGGCCATTCCAAAACTTCATTCCTTCATCTAATTTCAAGTCTAAACTCGTTGCTGGCTGAGTGGCAGCCCCACTCCCTGCCCCTGGGCTAGGGGTGGATGGATGGCTTTCAGCTCCCTGCACTCCACCTACATAGAGCCCTATAATACTCAGGCGTTTTGTGGGTGGAGTGAATTTCACTAGCTGTGTCAAGGACAAGCTGGAAAACTGAAAGACAAGACCAAGTGAATCTATTATTTATACCTGCTTCCAAAGTGTGCAAGGTGCTTAAACAAAGGGTCTGCCCCTGCCTTTTTGAACAAAAGCCACAATGCTGTATGTATCATTTGCCCTCAGAGTCTGAATCAGACAGGGTCATGGTCCCAAATCACTCCCGGTGAGCCTCCAGTGACTTCACTGACAAAGGGTGCATTTGACTTGCTCTGATCACGGTGAAGTAGCAGCAGACACTCCCAACAGGGTTGCTTTTTTCTAGATGAATTCTTATTTATAGATAAAATCTGAGATTTTCAAAGCTTCCCAGACAAATTGGACACACCTCTCCTTTTGATTGGAATGGGAATTGTGTGTCCAAATCCCTTAGGTGGCTTTGAGAATCGCACCCAAAAAGCTTCCCTTTGTCAGAGTCCAAGCCAGGCTTGTGATGCCCTTGTCTTGCTTGTTACTTCCCAGGTGACTTGGCCTCCCCTAAATTAAGTCACTGTGACTGGATAGCTAGTATGTAACTACGGTCCCAGTCCTGCAAGCTCAGAGCAAGAGGACGCCTGTGTCCTAATGGAACTCCTTTGAAGTCAGTGGGGCTCCACCTGCACGGAGCTCATTCATTCCAGGACTATGAGCATCAGTGTTCATGTCCACTGACCAAGGCCCAAAGAATTGTCCCAGCATGCACTGGCCATGGTGGAGAACCAGCAAAGGATTTTCTGCAGGAAAAATCCCTTGATTGTTTTTTCCGGCGACCTTGCCAGAGAGCTGGCGGGGATGTTTGCAGGACATCACTTGGTCCACTGCTCTTTGGTTTGGGAGGAAATTCTGCTTGCAGCAGCAGTTAGGCTATTAGCAGCTGGACCTTCCATACGCCTATGTTGTTTTATGTTGCAACTGGGGTAGGAAAGCAGCATTGGCTGTGTATTTTGCAACAGATGATTCTTCTTTAATATTACACCCCTTGTTCCCGAAAGTAGGATCACACTGAGGAATTGTATAGATGTTTTTTTCTTTGGGATGTATCAAAGCAATCACAAGTTCCTTTTTCTTTGTAGCTCTCCAGCGATGAAGAAATCCATAATGTCGGCACCTCCCTGACGTTTGGTTTTGGGACCCTGGCCTGCTGGATTCAGGCTGCCTTGACACTCAAAATAAACCTAAAGAATGAAGGAAGAAAAGCTGGGATTCCAAGAGTTGTCTTGTCAGCCACTATAACCCTGTGTGTGGTCCTTTGTATCCTTTTGCCTTGCTTGCTGGACCTGCAGGCACCTAGAATAACACGCCTGCTTATCATGGAAGGAGGGGATTTAAAAAGTAATGTATGGTATAAAACTGCTTTCCCCCTTTATAGCACTGTCTGTTCTAGGAGCTCAAAACATTTATGGCTACTAATTAATTTAGCCTCACCTTTACCCCCTGAGGTAGGTTAATATTGTTATCCCGGTATTACAGGCGAGGGTGGGATAGCTCAGTGGTTTGAGCATTGGCTTGCTAAACCCAGGGTTGTGAATTCAATCCTCAAGGGGGCCATTTAGGGAATGTGACGGGTTGAATCACAGAAACCCCCTTGGGAGCTGCCACCCAATGTACCAAGACTACTCCTGCTTCTGTTTTCCCTGCCAGCTCAGGACTCCAGCACCCTGTCTTGCTGAATTAGACCCTCCAGTCCACTTCAACACAGACCCAGGGTCTGAATCACTTGTCCCAAAGCTGCAAGTTTACCTGAAAACAGCTCACAGAAGTGTGCTTGTCTTTAGCACTCAGATGCCCAACTCCCAGTGGGGTCTAAACCCAGATAAATCCGTTTTACCCTGCATAAAGCTTATGCAGGGCAAACTCATAAATTGTTCGCCCTCTATAACACTGATAGAGAGATATGAACAGTTGTTTGCTCCCCCAGGTATTAATACATACTCTGAGTAAATTACTAAATAAAAAGTGATTTTATTAAATACAGACAGTAGGATTTAAGTGGTTCCAAGTAGTAACAGTCAGAACAAAGTAAGTCACCAAGTAAAATAAAATAAAATGCGCAAATCTATGCCTAATCAAACTAAATACAGATAAGTTCCTCACCAGTTCCAGAATGCTCCCTTTCACAGGCTAATCTCCTTTTAGCCTGGGTCCAGCAATCTCTCACAACCCCTGTAGTTACTGTCTTTTGTTTCAGTTTCCTTCAAGTATCCTGGGGGGGTGGAGAGGCTCCTTCTTTAGCCAGCTGAAGACAAAATGGAGGGGTCTCCCCCAGGTTTAAATAGACTCTCTCTTGTGGGAGGAGACCCCCCCTCCTCCCTCCTATGCAAAGTCCAGCTCCAAGATGGAGTTCTGGAGTCACCTGGGCAAGTCACATGTCCCTGCATGACTCAGTCTTTACAGGCTGAAGCCATTGTCCACATGGTATCTTGCATGTCTCCAGGAAGACTTCTTATGTGGATTGGAGCATTCCAAGATGCATTGTTCCCCAAGTGTTTCCTGATCAGGTACTTAACCTGGCGAATTCCTTCCTAAAGAAGCTGACCAAATGCCTCCCAAAGCTTACTTAGAAACCAAGCAAGTATACAGCCCATATTCTTAACCTCAAGTAGAAAATGATATATATATATATGTACAAATAGGATGAATAGATATAGTAGACCATAACCTTTACGGAGATATGTTACCTGGCACAGGCAGCACCAAACATATTCCAGTTATGTCATACATACATTTATAAGCACCCCCTCCCCATAAAGCCTTATGGGGTACACTGTCACAGGGAACTAGGGTAAGAAATCTGTATGGGGCTTGGTCCTGCTTTGAGCAGGGGGTTGGACTAGATGACCTCCTGAGGTCCCTTCCAACCCTGATATTCTATGACACGGAGAGATGGTAACCTGTCCTAGGTCATTTGCACAGGAGCACTATGTGGCAGGAGCAGATTCTAATGGCCTGTTTTGTGATAAATCCAATCCTGAGCATGAAGCTCTGTGGGAGGCTGTTCGGTTTTTTAGCTGTAAATGTGGGTGATCCTTTCTTCTCAGGGTGCAGGTTAAACAACAATCTTCTAGAAAAGGTAGGCGGATAAGTGGGTCCTGTAACAGAGTCAAAGGTCACATCTACACTGCGTTGAGGGACCCGGTTACAGCGTGGAAGTCCCCCAGTTTAGCCAGGTCTCGGACTGCAGGAAGGAGCTGAATCTTGTTTTAACCATGTTCCAGCCCTGCGAAGTCCATGTTAGGGAAGTTTGTGTTGGAACTGGGTCCCCAGCATGGTAGTTTTAATACCGTAGATAAGACAAAAGAGTAACAGTGGAGTGTGAGGTCAGTGTTTGTTAAATGCCAGCAGCGTGCTCGGCATAAGGTGACCAGACGATATTTAGGCGTTTGTCCCGCATCCCGACCGATCTTTGGTCGGGATGCAATTTGTCCCAATATTTCGCTCCGCCGGCAGCACTGTTTTTTGTTTGTTCATTTTTGCTCCGCCGGCGGACTCCCCCCCAACCCCCAATGTGTCTCAATATTTTCTTCCTCTCATCTGGTCACCCTAGCTCGGCACAGCATGAGATCCAGACAAAGACGCAGTCCCTGTCCCACGGAGTTGAGTCCAAGTAGGCAGACAACGCAAAAAGCCTTAGGAGACTCGGAGGAAGGTTTGATCTCAGACTATGTTGTTTCTTCTTCAGTATAATGGGCAAGTGATGGTCTTTTTACTGGTGTAGGTCAGTGTTTCCAGGCTTCCCCAAAATGGTTGGTTTTGCAGAGGATCTGGAAAGGGTGGTAGGAGGAATAAGTGGGTTTAGTCTTAGCCCAGAATGGGACTGATCCTGTTCTCGTTGAGAGGCAGCATGGTCTGTGGCTAGGGCACTCAACTGGGACCCAAAAGTGGGTTCTGTTCCCAGCTCTGCCACTGAGTGGCTGTTTGGCCTTGAGCAAGTGACTTTACCTCTCTGCAGGGCCGACGAGAGGGGGGGGAAGCCGGTACAAATTACCGGGGTCCGGAAGGGGGCCCGGGGCCCAACTATGTTGCATATGTTTTTGTCTTTCTCGGTAGTATCATTGTCTGTCGATTGTTTTCCGAGTATTTCTGACTCTATACGAACATTCGCTTCTGCACTTTGACAGTATGACACTGCAGTCTCATGATGGGGGGGGCCTGAAAAAAAATTTTCACCAGGGCCCGAACCCGCTCTCGGCGGCCTTGCCTCTCTGTGCCCTTTTCATCATGGGGATGATACTTCCCCTTCTTTGTCAAATGCTTTGAGATGTACAGGTGAACAGTGCAGTGCAAGAGCTAAGCATAGTTTTAGTGGAAATAGAAGCATGTTCATTATCCACATGAAAGTGTTGCCACATGTAACAGGCTTGCAAATGTCCCTGGTTTGTCCAGTTTCCTGCTGAACTAGATAGTTGACATTCACCCTGTCCCTGATTCTCTATTAAATACCTTTTTTAATTGCACATTGGTTGCCACTATCCAGTGGATTATATTTAAGTGTAAAAGGAAGGCAAGATTTTATCACCTCATGCATTTGAAAAACAACCCAGAGCTGCTCTACCTGCTCTCATCCAGGACTAAGGCTGTTCCGACATGTTCTCCTTGACAGCTCTTCTCCAGACTTCATCCTGATGGCACAGGGGATCCATATGCATGCAGCCAGGATCCAGTGGGGCTTGGTGATGTGCTTCCTCTGCTACTTCGGCACCTTTGCCGTGGAGTTCAGACACTACAGATTTGAGATCATTTGCTCCGAGTACCAGGAAAACTTTCTGAGCTTTTCCGAAAGCCCGTCTGAAGCCTCCGAGTATCAAACAGATCAGGTGTAGCCCTGCCCTCGTTACATGGCAGGTGGGCTGGTGTGGTCACGAGATTTAACCCATGACCTCATTACAATTTTTTTTGACAAGTTCATTTTCCATGTACAGTCACAGACGTATTGCCAAAGGGCTCTGAGGGCAGGTGTTTAAGAGCAGAGCAAAAACCAAGGACCTATCTGATCAAATCTGAAAACACCAATGTATGTGTAAAGAAAGGCCGACTGCTAAGTTTGTGCTAGAGAGGTCTCTCTCCTCAACCCCTGTCCCATTCATCTTAGAAATATCCTAATCCTCACAAGGCCACTGTCAGATAGGTCGTATTATCCTCATTATACAGCTGGGGAGACGACTTCTCCAGGGTGACAGGTCAGTCGGAGTTAGTACTCAGGCTCCTACTCCTGCAATCAGACCACTAGACTGCACTTGTCTCAGGTTTCAATTGGTTTTTATTGCCTTGTTGTTGGACAGGGGTAACTTGATTGTGAAGTGAGGAAGAATTACCAGCTGGTTTCATGGCAGCTGGACTTGGAATCAGTCAGTGGAAGAAGAGAGCACAAACATACTGGCCCTTGCTTAAGGATAGGCACTTCTTCCCGTTTGGAAAGCAGGTAAAGGTGAGGCCTGGTTTGGGAAAAACTAGACAACTAAAAAGGTGGTGAAACAGACAGTGGTGGTCAGCGGATGCCCACCTTGTTGTGGTACTGAGGCAGCCCACCTGCACCAAAGCGAAAATAGAAAACGCATCCCAACGCAGCGTGGGTGGGGCTGGGCTACATCTCAGTGTGGTATGGTCGGAGCAGCTGTGACCCACGGGAACAAACAGCACTGGGTTAAAATGTGAACGTTTCTTCTGCCCAGCGGGGACCAAGAGGGTGTTTTTTTTATTTGTAGTGCTTCCATAAAATACTGTGTATAATATTTAGAAAGCTGCTTTTCTCACCGTTTCAGGGGAACCTTGTCTGAACTTAGTCTGAGTGAAGACTCTGGCTCATGTCTGATCAGAACATCATAAATTCAGGCAGATTTTACTGGATGTAGGTTTATTTGACTGCTTATGCACTAACGGTGAAATTCAACCTCTGCAGAGGCCTTTGCCTCAACTTACCTACCTATGTGCCCAATTCAGCAACGGACTCCGATTGGTTGGATCCCATTGAAGCCAATGGCAGCTGGAATCCACCTGTGCAGTCTTTGTTGAAGGATCAGGGTCATAGGGCTTAAGTGTGACTTAAATGGTGGACTGGCCTAGCTCTGGCCCTCTGCATGGGGCTGAATTCACCTTAAAAGTTCAGGATAGTAAAGAAATAGCTACAGGTAGAGATGGCTAGACAAAAACCCCAACAGAACTCGGAGGAGCTTTCATTCCATTCCTAAAGGGGATGGAGCTATACTACCGATGATCTTGATTCAATGGCCAAAACGAGGAGACTTTTCATACTGTAAAATAAATACAGCTCAAAGTATAGAGCAGGTTGAAAAACCAGCATTTCCAAATCAAAATTGTTTGGCTTTGGGGAGTTTAGTTTTTTGAGGAAAAGTCTAGATTTTCTGCAGAAAGGACACGGTTGGCGAACAATTTCATGTTGACAAAAACCCAATTTTCCACTGAAATACAGTTTTGATGGAAAATTTTCAACCAGCCCTATGAAATTGATTACTTTGGGGCAGATTCTACACTTGATTACCCTGGTGTAACTCCAGAGTAACTCCACTGAATGGAGAGTTTACATCTGGCTGCAGAATTTGGGCCTTTAGTAATTATCTAAGAATAGGAAAAAGTTAGCAGGACACTTTCAGGGAAGGGAACGTGTGGGTGTGTTAGTCATTAAAATGAAATAGTGGTAGGTTTACCACCTGTTAGGGGAAGACTCAAAGTAACATAAAGCCAATCCACGTATCTTTTCCTTTTCTTCACTGCCAGGGGAAGGGGAGACTGGTAGGAACACACATAAATGGAGAATCTCACACACATGTGCATATTGAGCAGAGAGTAGTAAGTTTTTGTTTAAAAAGTGTTTACTGTAAATAGTCCACTGAGACATTTTTTTAAAATCAAATAATGTTTTTGTTTTATCATTTTATATTTTGAAATTTTATCAAAGAAAAAAATGAAGTTTGTGAATTTTTTCCACTGACAATATGCAATCCAAGCTGAATTTCAGGCTTTTGGTGATGTACTGTACATTTCTTAAAGTATTTCTAATAGCACATTTCAGTACAGCTGAACAATAACTAATATACACTGAAACATGACCACTAAATAAACTTCTTTTATGGAAAGAGTGAGTTTTATTCCCTCCCCCCATATACAGTTTCATTCTGACAAATGGAACAAGGTGTGAGCAGATAGTCACTTTGCATCGTGATACAATGGTACACATCAACTTTACCTAAATCCACTGCCCAGTCAGTCATGCAGATATGGCTACAGCAGTAACCGTTGTGAATCTGGTACGTTTCTGCAGTGTGCTCAGATCACTTTAACTAAGCAGTGGGCCACAGATGTGTTCAGATTAGCTGGGTCTCCCTCTCGAGACTGGGCAGCTACTTCCCTAAGGACCTGCCGTCCCAGTTTAAAAGGGAGGTGCTGTCAAGATGCATTTTATTTTTTGCAAAGACCATCTCTGTGTTACTAGCAACACTGACCTGCCACAGCATTTTACAAATGTATTTGGGCATTTATAACGTGGATTTAATCTTGGCATTCTATTTAAGGCCCAGTCCTGCTACTGGATCTATTTGTACAGGCTGGTGCAGAGCCTGTGGAAATCCTCTTACCTGGACATAATGGGCCCTACTTGCCCTACTGTATGCAGGCTCAGGGCCCACGTTTGGGTAGTGGGACAGATGAGCCTGTTTTACTGTCTAGTTCTCAGGCACAGTATTGCCAAACCCACATATTCAAAAATCATGATTATTTTTAAATCTCATTTTTAAAATCTGGGGTTGGATTAGAAGGAGCATGGTAATCTGCACACAAACTCTTCCTAGAGTTACACATGGGAAATACTGGCATGAAAGCTGGGGAAATGTACCTTCTCATCCCAACATGCAACCCTAGGATCTTCATTTTCCCTCCCTCACCTAGCTTCAGTGGCTGTAGTAACAGTATGAGCAGGGGGATATGTTCACACTTCCCACCTCTGATCATAACCTGACCCTAACAAAGCTTCCCCTTGGTCTCTTTGCTGATGAACGTATCTCATGGGGAAGGAAAGCTGTGTTCTACATGCACATGAATGCTTACAAGATGCCAGGAACTGACCCCTGTCTGGTACATTCTGGGGAAAGAGCAAGTCCACTCCACCTCCAGGTACCTAACCTATTCTTTCCAGGAGCTGTTTTGGCTCAGCGGGGCCCCCTGAGAGGCAGTAGAGAGTGTGTAGCTGCTTTCTGTACTTCTCTGGGATGGCAGGTCCTTAGAGCAGAACATGGCACCTTTTCCCTTCCCTGCAGGGGGCACGTCCTGGTAGAATCAAATGCCCCCACCACTGGGAAGAATCTAAACCACCTCCATTGCCATGGCTGATGGTATTAGAATTGTCACTTTCTCCCCTGCAGGGGGCAGCCCACACACAGGCTAGGTGGAGACCCGTTCTTTGATCCCAGACAGGCAGAAAGGATCCTGGCCAATGTGGAATCTGAGTTCTACAGATTCGCTATGAAAAAATTCCTTCCTGCCTGTTCCGCTCATGAATTTGGGTGCACGGGCTGGTAGGATGACATGGGCAGAAGTAAGGATTTCTGGCTCCTCTAAGCCTGTGTTTCTGTAGTTTTCTCATACAGTGTTTAAGTAGATAAAGTTGTAAAACTTGACATGTTTCAGATCAGTAGCTAAAAAAAACGTAAGCAGTCCAGTTGTGCCGGTAAAACATGCACAGTGAGGGACAAAGACAAGCACATGCCCAAATATGCAGTAGCATCCATTGCTACCGTTTCTGCACAAGCAAGAGAGGCTGGGGTTTGGGTACATTTTCCTGGGAATGCTTGATGTTCCTTGAGTTAAAGGATCCCCTGTAGGCCATTCTCCACTGCCTTGCACTTTAAGCTATTTTACACCCATTCTTCACAGCTGTAGACACTACCATTCTGATTGGATAGTGCTTTATACCCACAGGTGCAAGGGACTTATAACAAGTGAAAGGTAGTGATGAATGAGACCCTTAGGCACTGTGCTCCACCTGTGTAGCCTACTTGCTGCTCTTGCTCTACCCCATACAGAACTCCTACTGAAAGCAAAGGAAGGTTTTGAGTGTAACACACTAATTCCTCTCCAATTTAGAGAAGGCTCACGTGGCCTGCAGGAAACAATGGGGAAGGGTGTAGCAGCACTGAAGGAAAGAGCTAGAAGGTTACAGGTAAGAAAACCCTTTCACCAATGCTGGAGGCTGGCCACTGGTGGGATAATGCAAATGCCAGAATTTTAGGCAGAAGACAATTGTACTTTTATTTACCACATAGTATAAAGTGGCATAGGTTAAGTGGTGCTGTTACATGGTTTGTATTTTTGTAATCATTCATTGATATCAACTGCAGCAGGTAGTGCCAAAGCCATGAACTGTCTTTTATAATGTCTAGTTAATAGCTGAGCTGAGTTACAAGTTGGTGAAACCTTTTCTTGGCTGCTTAAGGAAAATTTCAGGGATTATTGCTAAGAGTGCTACATTTCTGAAATAAATGGAAATCTGGCTTTAGCATGCAGCAGGTCCTGGAGCGCATAGCCCAATATCACAAGTAGGTTTATATTTAACTTGGCCTCCTCTGTGGCAGATCTAAGCTGCAGCATCCAAACTTCATGGTCCACATTTGACGTTTATCTTTGGCTATCCCGAACATACATATCCTAACCTCTTAAGAAATTAATTTTGCTTAATTTAACTTCCAGCATGAGAGCTACAGATCTTATTGGAAGGGGGAAGTTCATATTTCCTTATAAGATTCAAGTCTGTGGGGGTGTGAGAAATTCTTTGTTCACAGAATATTTTGTTTTTAAGTGACAAATGTTGTCACGTGGATTTTCACAACTAGATTACCTGGTGGTTGGCTGGCAGAACAGTCACCCTGTAGTAATAAATTCCCTGATAGGAAAGCTAATTGAACACAGGCTTCATGGATGCTGCTTCTCGCACCACTCACAACTCCAACAGACTTTGACAGGCCTCAATTTCACTGCATTAAAAATCCCCTCCAAAATACTTAAATCAATTTCTGCAGCCAGTCATGGATCCTGTCATATCTTTTAAAATTCTTATTACCAATATAATTAAAGATTACACAAGGACAATTCCAGCGGGTGTAGTTTGGTCTATTGTGCAGGTGCACAAGTTCTCCTAAGTGGAGGAAGGCAGGAACAGTTCATTGAAAGACGTGATCAGACTGTAATACGACTTCTCATCGTCTGTTAGCCCTGCATTGCCTGGCCTCACGACCACAGCCACGTGCATGTCTGCTTCTTCTGCAGCATTTGCCTCTGTGGAAAGACCAGAGTTTAGGAAACAAGAAGGCTAACGCAGTTAGTTTGGTGCTTCACGTTGGTGGGCAAGTCAACATGTGCCTCCTCCAACCCCTCTGCCTCCCCAGTTTTGGGAGGCATCTTAGAATGCATGAGGGGACTGGAGGTTGAGAATCAAACTGGGTCTCCATACAGCAATGCAATTTTATTTAAGTGTAGCGCTAGCAGGGACCTCAAAGTCAAAATCTAACCCCCTCTGCTGAGGCAGGACCAAGTAAACCTAGACCCTCTCTGATGGAGGTTTTTAGGAACAGGTAGAAGAAACTTGTTCCTAAAAACCGCCAATGGTGGGGCTTCCACAACCTCCCTTGGAAGCCTATCCCAGAGCTTAACTATCCTGCTAGTTAGAAAGTTTTCCTAATATCTCCCCTAAACCTCCCTTGCTGCAGATTAAGCCCATTACTTTTTGTCCTACCTTTGCTGGACAAGGAGAACAATTGATCATAGTCCTCTTTGTAACAGTCCTTAACACATTTGAAGACTTATCAGGTTCCCCCCTCAGTCTACTTTTCTCAAGACTAAATTGTGCCCAGTTTTCTTAACCTTTCCTCATAAGTCAGGTTTTATATACCTTTTATCATTTTTGTTGCTCTTCTCTGACTCTCTCCAATTTGTCCACATCTCTCCTAAAGTGTGGCACCCAGACTTGGAAACATTACTCCATCTGAGACTCCCCAGTGCTGAGTAAAGTGAGACAAATACCTCCCGTGTCTGTCTTGAGGAAACCAGGATTTTCTCTTTTTAATAATTCTCTGTTGCCTTACTGTGAAAAGAGCAGAACACTAGGCTACTGTAGGAGGCCAGGGAACATTATGTCATCAATATATTTGAATGCAGTGGTGTTCTCACATGGGGGGAAGTTTCTAAAGAAAAATGGGCCGAGAACACAGGCCAGTTTGGCCTCAGTCATAGCAGCAGGAAAGTAAATTCCTGCAAGGGGAGCTGGAGAGCATCCTAATCCCAGACTCCTCCATAATATTCTTGCCTGTGACAGTCTGGTAGAAAAATGAGGTGCGGGTTCAGTTTATTGATGACTCAAACATGAATGCCTGGGAAATGGGGAGTGCAAAATCTGACAATTTAGTGTTAGGATTAAGTTTCCCTTTAGGATTTCTGTCTTGTCCTCCACTGCTTGTGTTCCAGTATCAAGTTTCCATTTCTTTATTAAGGATTGTGGATATACTGACAAATAAACTCATTTGTTCCACAATGAATACACTGCTTAGAGGCCTAATCAGGGGCTACCTTTGAAGCATACTAAGGGGTATGTTCTGAACCAAGTTACTTAGGGGGTTATGCTGGTATAACATTAGAAACTATGCTATATTTATGTAAGGAAAAAGGTGAGTGAAAAAAGCTCTCTGGACCTGACTTTCTACTGCAGGGATCGGCAACCTTTGGCACGCAGCCCATCAGGGAAATCCACTGGCGGGCCGGGATGGTTTGTTTACCTGCAGCGTCCGCAGGTTCGGCGGATCGCAGCTGCCACTGGCCGGGGATCGCCGTTCCAGGCCAATGGGGGTTGCAGGAAGCGGTGTGGGCCGAGGGATGTGCTGGCCAGTGGGAGCTGCGATTGGCCGAACCTGCGGACGCTGCAGGTAAACAAACAGTCCCGGTTCACCAGCAGCTTTCCCTG